TAAAGGACAAGGGCATCAGGTACACTGGGTGTGCGGTGGTCAAGATCCACCACAAAGATCGATAAGACTATTCATCATGATTTACTAAGGTTTAGTAAACATGGTTATGCTCACAAGTTTAAGTATAATTCTAAACATTGGAAAGGTTAAATGTATGGTAGAGCGAATGAGAAAAATCAAATTAGGCAGAAACATAAAAGTTTCTTCAATCTGAAAAGATGAGAGAGTAATTTAGTATCGTGTTTTATGACCATATTAATGATTATGTAAAACCATGTCACAATTGATCCCCTAAGGATATCTTAGTGCATTTGTATGGCTATAAAGAGGAATCGTGAATTGTTGAAATGGTTAAATCAAGAAGATGAGTCATACTTTGTTCCGAAACAAATCTTAGAGTCATACTCCAAGATTGTGCTTTGAGTGAACGTTTTCTACTCTTGTACATTTTAAATTGGTATGTTGTGATGTTTTGGATAAAAGAAAGACCAACTAAGGCCAATTGTTGAAGTGTTTGTCTTGATAAGAATCCACACTAACTCTTGAATATTTGATTTGTTAAGGCATGGTTCATGACAAGAGAATCTTATATGTCAAGAGGTCAGTGGGAGTCTTAAAGATCTTGAAAGTTTCACGAAATAATAAAGAGTAATCATATGGTAAACACGACACGACTTGAGGTTTGTAACCTATCGTGTTGACATATTCTTGTTTCTTTGCCCATTCTACTTAAAGTTGACTATACATGTGGGTTCTATGAGTTCTCAGTTGTTTGCATAAAAACTTGGAAGCAATGGTAAACCCTTGTGCTGCCAGGTGGTAAGAAATTAAGATTTAACAAGTTTTGTCCATATGAATTTGGATTTGTCACTAACCTTGACTTGTGACTATGGTTATGATAAATTCACATGGATAGGAACACATATACCATAAAATCTAAGTGTCATAAGGTTTCTCTTAGATTCATGAAAATGACGGTGAGGAAACCCTTTCACTAAGTACATTTTAAGGAGATAGCAGTTGTGATATTTGCATTCTCAAATTTGATTATGATTACAACATCCCTTTTCATAATTCGAATTGTGAGGAATAGCAAAAGGTCTAAACATTTGAGACTTATTGATGTAAGTTCTTAAATTGTTTAGACACACATGTGAGCTATCTAAGGAAAGGTGTATAAGTTTATGAAGCCTAGATAAAGTCTTATCGAAGCATCTCGTATCAGAAATAAGAACTTTGGTAATGAAAGTCGATAAGTATTGATTTCTAGATGTGCAACTGATTTTTTAGTACATGTCAAAGCTAGTGGGAGGATAAGTGTTACGCTAGTAAGATAATAATTATAATGCTAGTGGGAGCATAATTATTATGGAAATTGTAGCAAGTTAGCATTGTTAATTATAGAAAACAAAACTTTCAAATTGCAAGTTGCAGTGTTTGAAAAGTTGTTTTTCTATAATTAAGGGAGAGGAATTCATACTTCATTTCAATTAGCTTAGATTGAGATTTTAATCAATTTTAGTCAAATATATATGAATGTTATTTTGGAATGGTTAATTGCATTCTCAAAATAAGGAAATTTTATATATAGAAAGGTTAATTGCATTCTAAAAATTCAATTACGATTACGACATCCCTTTTCATAATTTAAATTTTTTAGAACACGGCATATAAAAATCATATTGTAGCAACAGACTGATCATGTATCATTTCTTTATGTTAGTCATTATGAATCACATCCCATATGCTTTGGGTATAGGATCGATTGCATATTCTATAATATTCTCGTGTTTTAAATTTTCTAAATGCCTAGGGCATTAAAAGGGAAAAAGGACTAGAACCGGATATGACTAAAGTGGTTAAACAGTTGTTAAGGACAATCTAAGGTTCACCAAGGATTGGTCGCTTAACGAAAATTGGAAGTATTGTAATGGAAGGACCATATTGACACTATTATGAATAGATATGAGACTATTAATAATTAATTGTCGTATGGTAAGTGTGGAATGTTTCTATATTAGGAGTTGAAGGATAGACGAGAAGGTTAGAAACGTATATGCAAGAAGGATATTCAAAGGAATGTACTTTGAATTTGAGACGTCATTTCCATGGAACTGTCTTGTAACAATCTCCAAAGGAATATTTTGTAATTGGTCAAGTATTTGTGACTTTTGGCACCTAGACATTACAAAAGAATCATTGCATGATAGTTTAGAATCTAACACTTTCTAGCAATTACAAGAATTTGTAATTCTTATATTTTCAATAAGGATTTGGAATTGTGAAATGACCATCATTGAATGTTTTTCAATCGATCTATTTCAAAAAATAAGCACCATAGACATAGTGTGCATGCATGGTACATGGCATAGTTATTGTTTTAATTTAAGTATTAAGTTGATTATTCGAAACATTATATAATGAATATTGAGTAATCAATATGACTCGAAAGTTTTTGGGCCGTATAAAATTAGTATTATTATTGTGTTTCACTTTGGATGTTTTAACTTCACGAATAACTAGGCAAGACTATCATGAATGGGTCTGTAGTTTGTCTAGGACAAAGTGAATACATTGTTCATGAGTGCTCCTAGAAAAAGATTCGAGTATTGGATTCAACCCACGCTCATTTGAATCACTTCATGGATTTTATCACGAGTGATCATGAGACGATAATATCTTATATTCTTCAAACAGATACGTGTGATTTGTAGTTGTGATTCGGTTGCAAATAGACATATGTAAATGTACCAGTAACTTCGATGTTATAAAATGTATCGTTGTGTGTAATTTGATGACTAAGTACAAGCGAGCATTTAGGTCGAAATTTATCCATTCCTTTTACCCCATGTGGATAAAAAGCGATATATGTGGGCCCCTCGATGATTTAGTGATGACACCAGGCCTGGACTGATTTGATTTGTTCAATTAGTCAGTTATCATAAATTAGAAATCGGGAAACAACAGATGGACATAGTGAATGATTATACTCCATATGTCAGTCCATATGATATCTATAATGGAGGAATATATGATCCCTTATCTAATGGACAAATCATTGAGTAGATCAGAGTTCGATAACAGCTTTTAAGAGCTATGATTGCTAGTCGGGTTGGATTCATGCTTGCAATAATAGTTATTAGACTTATCCAAGTGGGATACTGTTGGATTAGGTGTCTAAGCCCATAACTATTATTGTTATGTACTTGACCCGAGAGTAGCATCATCCATTTGGGTTGAATGGCATCAGAACAATTTGGGTAGACTTTTGTGACAAGAGGATATTTATGATTTATTAATATATTATAAGTTCTAATATATTAATATGAAATCGTATTATTTAATTAGTATTGATCAAGCATTAGTTTGGAACGAATTTTATGATCCATAGTTTCTCATGTTAGGCTAAACCCATTTGGTGACATATAGTTACTCCATGGTGGTTAAAACCCATTGATCATGAGGAATATGGAAAGTCATGAGTTACATGGTGTAACCCTAATGTGCACACTATATAAGAAGCATCATAACTCATGAAATTGGCACTAAGGAGTGACTAGTGATAGGCACATGGGGGCTAGCCGATTTTCAGTGTATATAATCTTCTCTTAAGGTATTCCAATTGTTAGTGGTGCTGTGTGATTCCATTGGAGGAGCAACACTTGGGGCACCAAGCTCTTAAGGGTCCAAGGCTTCCAACTACAAGAAAAGGTACGTCATCTAACTTGTTTTATTACCCAAGTATCGATGTTTTGTATGCTAGTTAGGGTAATACCTTGGAAAGTTCAAGTTTGCATGTATAATAGATAAAACATAGATCCAAGGTATTTAGGATTGCATGTACACCTTAGGAGTGTTAGAATGCTTAATACTCAACAATTTTTTACATGGGAATTGCATGGGATGTTTCTTTTATTATGTTGTAGAAATATGTTAGGATGTTCGCCTTTAAATATTCTATGTCGGAATTGTTATGTAATGTATTGCACTCACTTTGGTTATTAATATATTTTCTTGTGGGATCCAATGTCCTTTGTGTCCTTTTTATGCATTAGATGGTCCCTTGTTTCTTGTCCCTCCTAGAAATGTTATGTTGACCATGCTACATAAAAATTTGTTTGTGGACCATATAACAACTCATGCATGATATTATATAATTATTGGACTATATAATTTGCATTATTTGGGGACCATATAACAATTCATGAAGTATAATATCAAGTAAACCATAATGATATGTTAAAATACAATAGGATCCATGCTTTCTATTATAAAATCAGTCCATACAAGAGGTGTTACATGACCATATGTACTAGGTCCAAACTACATTCCCTATACTAAATTGTCAAAAGGATCATCATTTCATATACCACCATTACACCATCAAACAACACTATACGTCTTGCATCACATACAAGAGCTTTAGCTTCATTTCCAAATACCTAATCACTAAAAATACCTTCCCAAAAGACCATCCCCATATCCACCCTGTTCCAAAAGGCACCTATACACCATGACCCAACATCTTACATCACCGAGACCAGCTTAATGTATATGACCACAAACAAAAAGCAGACCAGAGAAATCAAAACAACCTTTTTTAACATCTTCTTCAACCTTTCAATCTGTAGTTCTTGGATCCTAGCTTCGACAAGTTCCTTCTATTGGGTTTTGGGTTAGTAATATTGCATCGTTGGGCTTTTTGTCTAAAGTCCATTGTTTTCATGGTACTGGGCCTGTCCAGCCGTGTTTCATTTATTGAGGTTTACTTTATATTGTGCATGCATGCACCGTGTACTAGTCAGCTGTTGATTTTCATTATTGTAACCCTACCACACCTCTACAATAGCAAATTTAATAGAGTTCTTCTGAGGTTGTGACTTATTAATTATTCGACATCAGTTTGATTCGTCTTGTGTTCTTAATTGGTTTGTGTTATTCTATTACTTGTTAAGAATCTCATCAATCTTAAAGAGTTTTAATCTCATGAAATTCTAGTCATGGCGGATTCTTTGTTATCTTCGATTGCTACTTTCCATACCACAAAGATCATCGTCAATGACTCTTCCAAGTTTCCCTTCATCGGTTCCATCCCTGAAACGATGTATAGGTGTGTTTTTGCTGCTAGTATTCTCATTATGGAATACAAGAAATTACCTTTTTTCGGTCCAAGAGAACTCACTCCCGAGATGCAACGTTTCCTCGATGAGGCTGATAAGTTAAAGAAAGGGGGCAAGAAAGGGATAAAAAAGAAAGAAGTTCACGAGAGTCCATCCTTTAAACTTATCACACCCAAGAAGCGAAAGGGTAAAAATGTTGAACCTTTGGCTCCTAATAAGCGAATGCTGAAAGAGAAAGTGCACAAGTGAAAAGCTTCATCATCCACTGATAGTGATTACGTTCCCTCTGATGAAGATATTGAGGATGAACTCGAGAAGGAGCAAGATGAGTCTGACGATTCGGTCCGTGAAGTCACACCTGAGGTAACTTTTACTAACACAATTCCATCTCCACTTCCTTCTCCTAATCACACTAATGTTCTAATTTCCATCTCTCCATGCCCTCCTCCAGTGTCACACCTCGAAAACCGAAGGCGGAAACATTTCCGGGGTTGACTCCACGTTGAGTATCAAATCCAATGCACATAGTAAGTAAAGTAAAACAACCATTACATTACATAAGAAAGTTTTACAGTTGTTTTAAAAGTAAAGTTTGTATGGTTGTGATATATATTATATATAAACAAAATGAAGCGGATCTTCATGTACTCCGTCTTCAAGCAAAAGGATCTTCGGGTACTTGTTCTAACGCTGACCTGAGAACACAAGTGGTTTGAAAATCAGCATAAAGCTGGTGAGTTCATAAGCGGTTTTGTTTGTGAAAATGTTTCGAGTTTCCTTTCTGTTTCTGAAATGTTATGTACACTAAGAAAATCCCATATTTTCTTAAAAGTTGGTTATTGATTCACAAATGTAAAGTATAGTAAGTCGTACACCGAAAACATGTCTACTCATATGAAAATGTATAGTTGGTTATCTGACTTGTTAAACTGTTCTGTTTACTTATCATGTGTTACCAGGAAAGTCCCATACTTTCCTTATTGTATGTTACAAATTGTAAAAGATGTAATGTTATCCAGTTTGTTACTCTTTCTAGTTATGTAAGTGTTACCCAGGAAAGCCCCATGCTTTCTTGCAATGTTGGTTTCTAATGTAAACGATGTTAAAGATGTAAAAGATGTAATCATGTTTATGTTCCATGTTTTCCCCAGGAAAGTCCCGTACTTTCCTGATTTATAGTCACTGTAAGTGAAAGATGTAAAAGATGTATAAGGTGGTTCATCATTACTATAAGTAAATCTCTGTTATCCTAATTGCGAGTTACATAACCGTACATTAGACTAAAACCTGTGGCAATAAGTAGTCCACATGTGGCAATAAGTCGTCCACATACTTATGACTTTCGTCACCCTTGAACCATTTCGGTTCGACTGTAGCTAGCAGCCAGGTGTGGGGTAGTCAGCCCCGTATAGATCTATACACTCAAGTCACGCTCTCTAAATACCAGAGATTCTAGTTATGGGTGTAGTCCTCCACTCACGTATCTCGGTGGAGTGTTCTCCGAGGACGTGTCTCCAATCATACAGGATTAACAAATTTACTAGTAATAATATGATAGTCCTCCACTCGTGTGTGTATGGAGTGTTACCGAGGACTAAACAGTGTACAGGTATTATGTTCAAATGTTTAATGTCACGCTTTTAACTGATCAAATGTGGAAAGCCATTTGTGAAATATATGTAAAACATAACAGTTTAAGGACCTATTTCACAAATATATGTTACGTGATCTGCATGTTCAAATGGTTATCAGTTGTGGTAATCAGTTATAAAAGCATATGAAATATGAAACACGCATTTGAAAACATGTTTTGAGTACAAGAATTTCCTTGTACTTTGCTTGTGTTCCCCCCCCCTGAAAACAGTGAAAAAGGGTAGGGGTATGAACTCAGCGGACTCGGAAACGTGTCGGTTTTGAATGCTAGATGTTGGTTCGAGGTTTGATTACATGCGATGTCCCTATGTAAAATGAAATAATGTCCATATATATACAATTAGGGATACATTCACTAATCATATGGAACATTACACTCCAATGAGGTTAAACACCTCAAAACGAGCGTTTGGAGTGACCCGGGTGACATCTTCGGACGTGTAATGGCACTAGGGACTTGGGACTTGAGTTTACTCCCCAAGAGTAAACATTTTAAGGAGTTTACAACTATTGAACACACACAGACATGAGTTTACAGCCGTAAACTCATGTGGGTGTGGTTTTGATGGTTTAAGGGCTCAAATGGACATGGGGATTGCTAGAATGGATTATCTAAAATGCCTTGGAACACTTGGAATGAATTTACATCATTTAAAACATGAGTTTACAGCCACACTCTTAGAGTTTACGGCCGTAAACTCACCGATGGCTAATAATGGTTAATTTGAACTATATAGGACAATCACATGTGATTCTAACTAATTTTCTAAGCATTGTTATGAATTTAGGTTACCATTTTATAAAATTTTAGGAGTTTATGGCCTAGAGGCATGTTCTATGGCCGTAAACTCTCCTTATGCTCTTGAAAAATTATTTTTTGATGTTTAAAACACTCACATGCAATTCTAGAAATCTTTCCAAGCTTTTAGGGTGGTTTAAGACTTCATTAGCCACACTTATAGGATTTTACGGCCTAGGAGGAGTTCTTTGGCTGTAAACTCACTTACGTAGGGTATATGTTGTGTTTAAGGTCTCCAAATCATTTTTAGATGAATCTAGGATTTACCACAAGGCCATTGGTTGAGTTTCAAGGCATTTGGACAAGTTTTAAGGCTCTAAATCCCCAATTAAGAGGAGTTTACAGCCCAAGAATATGTCTTGGCCGTAAACTCTCTTTTGTCCCCCAAAATCAATGTTTTACATGTTATAAGTCCTTTCCATTAAGCCATTAAGTCATATCTAATGTCCAACAATGCTAAGAAGGGGTTTTAGGGCTTAAAAACCGCATTGATAGGAGTTTACTGCCCAAGCTAGTTCCTTGGCCGTAAAATCATGTTCTTGGTCCCAAAACACAAATTAAACACAAAATTGAAGGCTAAAGAGGTTGAATAACAAGTTAAGGGTGTTACCTCTTTGATTTCAAGCCTTAAATCTTTGTTTTGGACCTTGATTTTTGGGTTGAGGAGAGAGGTTGTGAGTGTTAATTGAGAAATTGACCAAAGGCTTCAAATGGAGTCTTAAACACGTTTATATAGTGTTTAAGTTTTGGACACGGTGGAATTCTACCCGAGACCGACGTTAGACGAGGCTTTTGGTCGTACCCGATTGAGTTACCGTAACCCGATACGGTAATTTCTAGAAATATTCCGACCACTAATGTTGGGTGTTAAAATGATTTCTAAATGTATTAAGACACCCATTAAGTCATTTTAAATGTGTACCAGATAATGAGTTAATTAAACGGAAGATCGGAAATCGAAATCGGAAACGACGATTGGTTGCGCGAATTGTACTACGAAAGAGTTACAATAAATGATACGGAAATTTCGGGTTGTTACATTATCCCCCTGTTAAAGGGAATTTCGTCCCGAAATTCAAAGTTTAAAACACAAGACAAGATACAAATCATGGATCAAAAAAGAGTTGTGGATACTTCTGTTTCATTGAATCTTCCCGTTCCCAAGTGAATTCCGGTCCCCACTTGGCATTCCAGCGAACCTTCACTAACGGGATGCGACTTTGTTTTGTACGTTTGACTTCTTGATCCATGATTTCGATTGGTTCCTCCACAAAGTTGAGGTTTTCATTGATCTCGATCTCGTCTAAGGGAATTGTTAGGGTTTCATCGGATAGGCACTTTTTGAGATTTGAAACATGGAAGACAGGATGAATGTTACTGAGGGTCATGAGGTAAATGAAGTTTATAGGCAACTGGACCGATCCTGGAGAGGATCTCAAAGGGTCCAATGTACCTTGGATTAAGTTTCCCACGCTTACCAAAGCGTACAGTGCCTTTCCAGGGCGAGACTTTTAACAGGACACGGTCTCCAACCTGGAATTCTAGTGGTTTCCGACGATTATCAGCGTAACTCTTTTGACGATCACGAGAGGCTTTCAGTCGTTTTACGGATTTGAATGATCTTTTCGGTGGTTTCGCGGATGATTTCAGGACCAGTGAGAGCACTGTCGGGGACTCGACTCCTGGCTAACTGTGTATCCCCCACCTCGGCCCAGCACAGAGGGGATCTGCACTTACGACCGTATAGGGCTTCAAACGGAGCAGTCCTAATGCTGGTATGGTAACTGTTGTTGTACGAGAATTCGATCAAGGATAGATGTGTGTCCCACGACTTTCCAAAGTCAATGACACACGCCCTAAGCATATCCTCAAGGGTTTGGATTGTTCTCTCACTCTGTCCATCGGTCTGAGGATGATATGCCGTGCTCATATCTAGTTTGGTTCCAAGGGCTTTCTGAAGGGATTGCCAGAATCTGGAGGTAAACCTACTATCTCGATCAGAGATAATGGATACAGGTACACCGTGTAGACGTACTACCTCCTGGATGTAGATTCGCGCGAGTCTTTCCATCTTGTATGATTCTTTAATTGGAATGAAGTGAGCGGATTTTGTCAAACGATCGACAATTACCCAAATGGTATCGTACCCACTAGAACACTTGGGTAGTTTGGTGATGAAGTCCATGGTAATCATCTCCCATTTCCACTCGGGAATCTCGAGTTGTTGGAGCAGACCTGAAGGCTTCTGATGTTCGACTTTGACTTTGGCGCAAGTCAGACACTTGCCCACAAATGTAGCTATCTCAGCTTTCATGTTTGGCCACCAGTATTGTTTCTTGAGATCCAGGTACATCTTGTCCGAACCCGGGTGAACAGAGTATTTGGTTCTGTGTGCTTCCTCCATGACTATTTCCCTGAATCCACCGGATTTGGGAATCCAGATTCAATTCATAAAACAGTGAACTCCGTCACCTCTGATCTCAAGTTTCTTTTCCATTCCTCTCAAGACTTCATTCGACATGATCTCGGGTTTGAGGGCTGTTATCTGAGCTTCTTGGATTTGCATGGGTAAGTTGGAATGGATGGTTATCGTCTGGTTCTTCACTTTGTGGCCTTTACTATCCTTTCGGCTAAGGGCATCTGCTACCACATTGGCCTTGCTGGGGTGGTAACGGATTTCACACTCATAATCACTGAGTAATTCTACCCATCGCCGTTGCCTCATGTGTAAGTCTTTCTGATTAAAGATGTGTTGCAGACTTTTGTGATCAGTGAAGATTGTGCACTTGGTTTCGTA